TGTTGAAGAGCAAGCTGCTGTGTCCTTGGTCCTGTCTCCCCATCCAGTATTTCAGCATATTTTCCCCCCAGCCCCTTTCAACAGATCAGTTTCTAGAGAATGGGCTGCTAGCAAACTTGACAAAGGTGTCTTTTACCTGTTGTTGTYCATGCTGATGTCCCTATTTAAATTTTTGGTAAAATGAATCCAGAGAAGTAAGGAGAGAGAGATTGCCTGTGGCTTCTACTAACTCCTAAAAAGTAAATGAAGTTCTGACAGAAGCCAAAGCTATGAAAGCARCCCATGGAAAACTCATTACCCACTGGCCTCCTGGATGCAATGCTGACTGATGCTGAGGCTATTAACAGCTAACATGATASGGAAAGCTGCAGAAGCCTGTCATATGTTAGGGAAATACTGTKAAAACATTTCTTGAAAAATCCCTGATTGCTGAAGATTTTGATCTTTATCTGTGTTAACAATAGCTGGAACTCCAGGGCAGCCAGGCTGTTGCTCAGGTAAGCTACGCTCCACATAAGGTGCTCCAAATCCCCTTGCAAAGTACATAGACTGCTCCCAGCACTGCTAACAGAGGTGGAGCTCAAGTGATGTTGGCAGCTGCACTGGTGTGCGCCAGGCCTGAGCTGAGGTCAGCACGATGTCGTGACAGGGAACGGGATGGTGTCCCCGAAGCCCCGGCAGTGGCCTGGCTGACCCTCACCTGCCAGTACCACTGCTGCTGATGAAGCTGAAATGGCAGGAACACYGAGGGGAAGTGTTCATAATGTTCCTGTACAGAAGCAGATAGTGGTAGCTTAGGCTTTGAGGGCTTTGAAAAAAATTTTTCTTTTGGCTTTTTCCCCAGACTGATTTCTGGAACCGTGTCAGAATCTGCCAAGAGCTTGTTTGAGTCCCATGTGAACCAAGTAGTTCAAGTGTTTTTTACATAACAGCAGCTGGGAAATGGAAAGGTTCTCTATATTTGCCTGTGTACACCTTGAAACTGATCACCAGCACCCGTGTCTGTCTCCTACATTACTTTGGGGAAGGAGTTGTATAGAGTCAGAAGCTGTCTAGGACAGCCATTTATCCCCACTGGATTAATAATGCACTGAAGTGTTGTTAGATACACTTAGATAAAGTTAAATGGACATATAGTTGTCTGTTTGACAAGAAATGTTAGTGTTATTCACAACTCTTAAAAGTGATGCCTGTGAGAGTAGCGGGCAATGTCTGTTGCAAAAGACTATTTTAGAATGATTTTTTAAAGTACCCAAATACACTGATAATTTATACAGCCTTTATATCATGGCTACTGTTGGTTATCCACATGCTTGTCAGAAGWAAGAGAATAGTTACTAGAGATACTATTTTCTCAGAAAACAGAATAGTGATGTGAGAAACTCAAAAAGCACTTCATTCTTTGAGCCTTTGGATTTGTACTGTGCTTTGTCAGTGATTGTCTTCGCTTTACATTTTAAGGATGTAGAGCAAAAGGTTGGATTTTCTGTGGCCTTTGTTTTTTTGAATGGGCTTCAGGGGAGATACATTCTTTGGGAAAGGTGGTGATAGGGTTTGGGGAAGGTATAGGTAGAAGGGTGTCTGCAGTGTCTTATTTGAGAGATGTGGATGGGCAGGCACAGGGAGGCACGGTAGAACTGCATTRTATGAACACATTCTACTGCATGTGCATGGGCTTGATTCAGTATATTCTTACAGTTTCTGGGAGGCTTATCCTGTGGTCCTAAATTCTTACATTAAGCAACTCAAAGGAACTTCTCTCCATGTWATGGCATAAAATCTTGCATGTGCTTTCTGTGTCTACATCTGYAGGTCTTCGAGGTGCTAATTTTAAGTGCATTTGTCTTTTCGCAGCCCCTTTCTCTGTGCTTCAGGGCTGGAGGTAGTTGAGAGCAATAACCTACTCATTTAGAGTTTAACAGAGAGGTACTTACACACCACATGTACAGGAGAAGGTATTTTCCCTGTGGAGGTTATAACTGCCTGGTGGAGATTGTGTAGACCATGTAGACCACGTGTAGACTGATTGGTTCAGTCCTAGTTGTGTTGCAAGCRTGTTCTTTATCCATTCCTGGGAAAGGATGAGGAGGACAGCTTTTGCTAGGAGATAGAGGCAGATTTAAAGGTGTTTTTAATAGCCTTTGGCAGGGAGCTCTATCTAGAAATCTGGACTAGTTCAAGGGTGTTSTGTGTCCCTATATCCTCAGGTGTCATGGGGATATGCGTTAGGCGTAGAATACTCATGTCATTTTATCTATTTGTTTTTACATGATCTTAAGGAAGTCTGACAGCTCAATAAAAGCATTGAATAACGCTTCCTGTGTCCTCCTTGTTTCCCAGTAGCTCTCCTTATCAATGAGGTGTGTAATAGAGTACTTTATTAAACAGCAGYTTATTAAAAAGTAACGTGCAGCTCAGCTGCAAGTGTGTGTAGTGGAGTCACCTTTTGCCAGTGCAGCTGTTCWCCCTCTCCTGTGGTTGAATGTGGATCCGAGGAATTGGAAGTGCCCTTCCCAGCAGAATTGTGCTGAAGGAGCGCGTTGGCTGATTCATTGCCTTGCCCCACCTCTCAGGTCACACAGGGAAATCCACTGGTGRATGCATGTGCAGAAGTTTGCTTTCCAGTGGCTGTCAGGATCAGCGGTTGCTCAAATACTTCTCTCTGCTGCTGTTCTTGGTTCCTCCTAAAGCTTCTGTTCTTCCCTGAGCTGTGTCTTATTCCACTCTCTCCTTCCTTACCCCTCTGCTGCCACAGATACAATTCAGGGTGCAGACTCAGCTTGCATTCAGAGTTATCATTTGTTTTCTGCAGCAGCAGGTCTCCAGCCTTTTTTCTTTTTCCATGCTGATTTTGAGCTCTCACCACCCTCAGTCCAGCGCAGAATGACAGTCTCAGAAAGGCCACAGGGAAAATAGCAGTGTGCTCTTTTTTGTATGCAGAGAAAGGTTTCTTGCCTTTAATGCTTCATGTCACAGTCAGGCCACAAGTCTGATACTTTTATCTACTTGGTATGCCTTTATTTCATCTCTCCACATTCGCCTTCTCAAAGAGGGAGAAAAGACTGAATTGAATCAGTGATATCTGCAGCTGTTCCTGCTGGACTACCCATAATGCTGTACACCTCCAAGTACTTGACCACTTGTCACTCTCAAGCTTCTGCAGTAAGGCCATAAATTAGGAATTAGCTAGTTTGATTTTTTTTTTTTGTTTTTGTTTTTAAAACCTGTTTCCAGTACAGTGATATGGTTGCTGGTTTGTACAGGGGTGGTTCAAATACTTAACCAAAAGGCTAACCAAAATGTGCATTTGCATCTTGTYAGTTACTCTGTSGTAGCTGYTTGCTCTTAAATTCACTGTGAAGCRAACTGTCATGTGCTGACTGGACTAAGACCATGCAGGTGAGCAGCAGAGATGGGACACTAGGGARTGGATATACTGCAGTAACTGTCTGGGTAGCCTAGAAGATGGATGCTGCCCCTCTTGCAGTCCTGAGCTATTGTCCGCAAGACTGCCCTTTTCTGGTGCTTTGCCAAGTTGGGATTGAGTATTTCAAGCAATGGAGCTCTGACCAATGTTTGGGATAGATTCTCTCCGTCCTGATGTGTGCTGATGTTCACACATTTTCCTCTTCAAGGGAAAAGGTGATTTCTGTCCCTGCTTTGGTAGAGGTGTGTCAGTATTGGCTTAGCCTGTATTGTTTCATTGGGTGGGGTGGGGGAAAGGGGAGAGAAGATATAACTGGGTAATTGGATTCTGGGATGATTGTGCTGCTGTGAGAAGTTTTACTGGATGAAGCAGCTTGTTGCGATAGTGTTTGTTTCAGCTTCTGTCTGCAGGTGTGACTTGGCTAGATAAGGATGGTCTATCACGTTGATGATTTCATTGTTTGATTTGGCTGGACTGGGTGGAGAATGTAGCTGCATTGTTTGGTAGTAGCTTTGTAGTTTGGTTTTGTGAAGTGGATTACATGGCAGCACATTGCTACATTATTAAGGTGAAGCTGCAGTAGATAATAGTTGGAGTATGTTGGAGGGAAGAGAATATGCACAGGCTTTCACAATGCAAAACTAATTGAGCCTCCAGCTCCTGTGTTTCTGTTGGGAGATCTGGTCAGCAGAATGCGTTGGGATCACAAAGGAAAACTTCGGTAGTGATTTCAATTTGCAGTTGTACTTTAACTGCAAGGCTGTCCATGCTGTGTAAATAGCTGAGAGTGCTCTGAGAAACCACACTGGCCCTAACAGTGTGAGTGCTGTCTGGATTCATACTGTTCTTGCAGTCTCTACAGTTTTCACAGTGGGTGAGGGAGAAGCTAGCAGGTCACTGCTCTTTTTTTTTTCTGACCTCAAATTTACCAGTAAGCTATTCCTCAGAGCCTGTGTTTCCTTGTATTGCCAAACTTTCAGGCACTTAAGCTTGCTTTGGATTCTCTTCCTCCTGTAGGGTATGCAGTAATGTGAAGGAGGTGCTGCCAGACTGTAGACTGTGCTTCCTCCTTCTAAAACCTGCCTGGTTTTCCCCTAGATGCGATTGCCTGGCTTTAACTGATACTTGATGTTTTTATTTATACATTGTCTGACTCTGGAGGAGGTTGCATATATGAAGCATAAGGGTTTGGCAGGAGTTGCTGGATACATTGTGGGGGGAAGGTGAGCCTTGGAAGAGAGATGGGTGCAGAGAAGGGAAGGTGACATGTCYGAGCTTTATGCCAGCTTCTTTAAACACAGATGAGCTCATGGGAATTCAGCTGTCTGACACATGGGAGTGCTAAAGCAGGTCTGCCCTATTTCACCTCCATGAGCAGCACGGATCTTCAGAGTCTTCCAGTCTGATAGTGGCTTTTTGGGTGYTGATAAATCCTTCTAGGCTGAGCAGAGGCTTCTCCTTGTTAGTGGTTCAGAGCAAGTTTTGATTTTTCTGCTTCTGTGGTTGGATGCATGGAAGGGGTGCATGGCTTGCTGTGAGTCCTTGTTGGTGAAACTTTTCCTCTCTCTTTCAGGTGACTGTTTTTTGTGAGACAAGTGGTTTGCGACTCATGGCTTCCATGATGAGTACTGCAGTGTCGTGACACCAGGGGTCTTGGTAAGTTTCTTGCTGGAAAGGCAAGGACCTATGAAATCTCCACCAATGCGGATCCATCTCTTTTATATCTGCAGTTTAAATTTGAAGTAATTTAAAGCTATCAAAATTGTAGACTGCAACCAGGTGGGGTGGCACTGCATTTTCACCTGTTCTCACCTCCTCTTTTGAGCTTGCAATGGCACTKATGTGGTTACATAGTCAATCAGGTCAGGGGGCAAATCCAGCTGAATAGAAATATCTGTTGTTTCCCTTGGGTTAGTTCCCATTCRGATCTTTCCCTGGTCAGGAGAGGTGGTGAGAATGAGTAGCCAGCTGAACCATCTCTTTTCCCTGAAGCCTTTGCCTGGTGTACATTAAAGCCATCCTGAAAACACAGCCTTGGATGTAGCTTGCCAAAATGTCTTGAAAAGTGGTTTGACCATTCACTGTCACTGACCCTASCTCTAATTTCAAAGCAATGATATAGGCTTTGCTATGGCAGGCAGACTCTAGCTGCAAAAATGCATTTCTCTAGAGCTTTTCCATTATTGAACCCTAGATTCCCAGGCATATATATGTTAGAAGTGCATTGAGAAAAATCACGAGACAATCATTTCACATTATGAAAGATGGTACATTCCCCGTGTGCAGAAATAGGAAGCCGAGGAGTTGAGTTGCTGTTGTTCCACCAATGAATATATTGAYGTGTCCTTTATAGGTCTCTCTGGTAAGAATAAATTTAAACTGAGATTGGAAAGCACAGTTCCCTTGCAGAGTGCATCAGTTCTAATATGTGAAATATACATGTATACAGAATAATGAAAAAGTAGGATTAAAAAATGGAAGAGTTCCCATCCCACCCTGGATGAAGTACTTGAAAGGTTGGTGATGCTAGAAATACTGTGTAGCCAGTGTGATTGTGATTTTTCTCTTTGTATTTTTACATTGCACTGTGCAAAACTGGGACTCTAAGACAAATCTCATCTTGCAACAAATGCTAACGTAATTCATAAATATCCAAACGGAAAAGCAGAGGGTGAAACAGCTAGAATACTTAAGTTCATCATGCAGGCATCTATGTCCTGCTGGAAGCATCAAGCTCTGTTCACTTTAATGCTGTTACTCCTTTTTTGTTG